ACGACGCTCAGCCAGTGTTGGTATGACATGCTCAGCTGCTCTTCGCTCATCCCGCTGCTGAGGGACACAGAAGGAAAGGGCTTCAAGGACTGCCAAAAACAAGGTTGGGCAACCCAGGACCCTTCAGAGAGACGGAGTGGGGACTTACGGGAAGTTCCCGGACACGCTGTGCTCAAAGAGGGTCTTCAGGAAGTGAAACCGCAGGCGGCAGGCTTCTTGGACGTCACGCTGGAAAGAAAGGGAGGATCAACGCTTGGGAGGGGTAGAGGCTTTCAACACTTCCTACCTGTTCATCACCCCCAGCCTGAGCAGCCACCATGGAATCCTGGTTTGCCACAGAGGGTTCTGGGAAGCCTGGCTCGCCGCAGGGGGTTCTGGGATATGCCTGCTGGTGTGCACGCCGTTCAAGCAGGGCTCTGGCCCAGGGGGCTCGACAAGCACGCCCCCAGCACATCTTTGGAGATCCACACTGTGCGGGTGGGGTGGGATAGATGGCAGCAGGTATGGTCACTGTCAGGGAAACTTGACTGGATCATGACCCCCCCTCCCCCCAATAACACTCAACCCTATGAGTGGAACTTCTGAGCGCAAGACAGGCCACATCTGCTTGTAAGAGCAACAGTTCCCTATGAAGAGCAGACGCAGATCAGCAAATACACCGCAAGAGCTCGCACCAGAACTTCAGGCTCCAGACTGGGGAATCCAGCCTCGGGGGCTCTCCCACTGCCAAATGCCACTGCTGTCTTGGCCTTCCTGCAAAGAGAGTAAGCGTCAGGGCCTGAGCATCGTGGGAGGACCAGAGTCATCTACTTCTCAGGTATCTGGAGAAGGGTGCTTGCACACGAAAGCTTACACCTTGAATAAAACTTTGCTGGTCTTAAAGGTGCCACTGGACTCAAACTTCGTCCCCCTTTTCATTATTTCCTTTTATTATTTATTTATGTCATTTATTCATCGCCTTTCTCGCTTGGATGCAAGACAATCCCTCTTGCGTCCAAGCGAGAAAGGCGATGAATTTCCTGCATTGCGCAGGGGGTCGGACTAGATGACCCTTCCAGCTCTATGATTCTATCATCCACGGTCAATACAAGTGACAGGATGGGGCAATCAGTAAATGATACAACAGGATTAGGGTTTGCAGAACCAATCAGAAAGCCAGAAACAGAACTGAAGCAAAATATAAGTCTTAACAGGGCACATTAAGTGATACAAAAATCACACCGCAGGAGCCTAGCTTCAGTAAAGCACAGTAACATTGGTCACAGTCCCTAATAATTTATCTCAGTAGCTTTGTGAATCATTTACTATAATCTAGATGACTGTTCAAGCCATCTTATGCTCATGGGCAGTGCAACAACTGTTAGAGCGGATCCTCGGTGGAACAGGCTTCCTCGGGAGGTGGTGGGCTCTCCTTCTCTGGAGGCTTTTTAGCAAAGGCCTAGATGGCCATCTGACAGCAAGGCTGGTTCTGTGGACTTAGGCAGATCATGAGGGAGAGGGCAGGAAGGGCTGCATCAGTGCTTAGTTCTCGTGGCCCTTTCTTATACACACCCAGGGAAGTGCCGATCACCACTTTGGGGTCAGGAGGCAATCATTCTCCAGGCCAAGTGATCCCGGAGGCTTTTTGTCATCTTCTGGGCATGGAACGGGGTGGTGGTGGTGGTCACTGGGGGAGGCATTTGTGAATTTCCTGCACTGCGCAGGGGGTCGGACTAGATGACCCTTCCAGCTCTATGAGTCTATCATCCACAGGCGACTGCATGGATTAATCGCCTACAATGCCACCAGCCCCGATCTGTCACGAAGCAGAAGACTCGAGGACAGGGGCCCATACCTCTCCATCTCCTGGAGCTGCTCCAGCCGTCCCTTGACCTGCACCACCCGCGTCTTCAACTGCTGGCGCTCCGCCGTGACCCGGGCTGAGTAGGCCTTCAGCAGCAACGTACGCCGCTTGGTGTCGCAGATCTTCTCCTGAGCTACTTCCAGGGTGACCTCTGCAAGACCAGAGAGAGAGAGAGGGGGGCTCGGCGTGCGTTCTACCCAATTATGTTGACCGCTGGACGGGCGCTGCACCATTTCCGTCTTTTTGAAAAGCAAGGGGCTAGTCCCTATGGCTGCAGAGAAAGCCTTACGGCCCACGAGTAGGAAATCTCAGAAGGCACCGGAGGCCGGGTGGTGCTATAAAGGGGATCTGGAAACCGGGCACTAGCTCAGTGCGAAACTATTCCGCCTTTTCCGCACCGAGAGCGTCCCGGCTTAGGAAGGCCCGACTCCACTTTGGCAAAGGCATTTAACAACAGTGGGAAATGCAGAAATCTCTCCCCAACGACTATTATCATTAGGTTATTTATAGTCCGCCTTTCTCGCAGAGGCCCAGATTTACCCAGGGTAAGTCGAGTACAACCAACAGGACACCCAATGAAGAGGGCAACAGACTTTGGGACTACAGAACTCTGAAGATGAACAAACCTCAAACACAGTATGCGTTTTGGAACAAGATACATAAAGTGGTGTCAAACTACCTAGTCTGGAGTGTGCTTCCGGTGGTAAGTAGCAACAGTAGTGTAGGCCTCTGTGCCTATTCCCTTTACCTGTGCAACACATGGACACATGAAACTGCCTTACCCTGAATCAGACCTTCAGTCCATCAAGGCCAGTATTGTCTACTCTGACCGGCAGCGGCTCTCCAGGGTCTCAGGAAGAGGTCTTTCACGTCACCTTCCGCTTTTCGCGCAGAGTCCCAGATTTACCCAGGGTAAGTCGAGTACAACCAACAGGACACCCAATGAAGAGGGCAACAGACTTTGGGACTACAGAACTCTGAAGATGAACAAACCTCGAACACAGTATGCGTTTTGGAACAAGACACATAAAGTGGTGTCAAACTACCTAGGTCTGGAGCGTGCTTCCGGTGGCAAGTAGCTACAGTAGTGTAGGCCTCTGTGCCTATTCCCTTTACCTGTGCAACACATGGACACATGAAACTGCCTTACCCTGAATCAGACCTTCAGTCCATCAAGGCCAGTATTGTCTACTCTGACCGGCAGCGGCTCTGAGGGAGGAAAGAATGATAAAAATTCAAAAGTCCCAGGAAAGCCTGAAGCTCTGCCTTCGAGGAGGGTGTGGGCGCTTGACGGAGGGCACGGATCTGTCAGCAAGTTGCCAATATGTCTTTTCCATCCATATGAGATGTGTCCATTCCCCCACCTCTCTCCTTCCCTGGACTGGCTTAGACTCTTGTGCGCATGTCCCCCCTCACCCTCATGCGTTCATCTTCAACTGCATTCCTTTCCATGTACGCTAGCAGTGCTTTGAAGGAACCTTATCTGCCAAGGCTACAGGTGGTTCGCGTTTGGAGGCTTTTTGCTTAGTCTATAATGAATAGTAGTGTGAGAATAGAGTAAGTGTTTAATCAGCTACAACCGTTGCTTTCTCAGGGTTTGGGCGTGCGATGAGTCCTCAGGGCGGGCGCGGGAACCATATCTATTGGCCCATGTTATTTTAAACTTGCTTTATTATACCTGTCTCAAGCACCTTGGTGTTATTCTGAACAGAGAATCTGTTCTAAGTACTTCATGGCTTCAATAAAACAAAACCTTCCTGCAAGAGTGTATTTCATTGTTTGCTGTGAGTCTGACAACCACTGACCATTTCATTACCGCACAGTCCTATTTTAACCCGTGCAAAAAGCCCTCTTGAATAATTCCGTTTCACGTAGGTTGGGGAATACAAGGGAAGTGGGAGCCGTCATAACCTCATCAGGGAGGCCTATGCAAGGGTGGGGTGGGGTGGGGGGGCTGCAACAGAGAATGCACCAGCACGGGCCACCCCCTGCCATTTGGGAAGCCCTACCGTCATGCCTCTGAGCCCGAAGGCAATTTTGCCATTGCTGCAGGACATCCCAGGGTGCTTTCAAGAACTCCTCCTCCTCTTGCATACTTTCCCTCTCCTCTCCCGTTTTAAACTGTAGTCTGATTATGCAAAACTTTGTCTTTTCCAAGTATTGCACAAACACCTTCAAGCATGAACCCAGATGGCCAGACAGGGGAGTAGAGACCTAAGGCCATTCTTAGCATGTGCACTGAACTACAATTCCCAGGAGCTTCGGGTGGAGGAAGCCATGGCGCTTGAACTCAATTAAGGCCAGCATCATATAGGATACCCACGTTCTCTCCTTCTCCCTTCCCATTAAAGCAAACAGTGCAGTTCCATGAGCGTGACTCAGGTCTGGCAGAGAACAGCTTACTGGTCTGAACCTATTAGCTGAAATTCCCCACCTCCCAGAGGTGGGAATGCAGACGCAGGGATCCTCTGGCATGCCCGCTCCCAGTCGTCCCCCAATCCAAGTGTGCCCAAAGACCCGTTCCCAGCAGGACCTGTGCCTCCTCACTCACCATCAGCTGTGAGCTCACGCTGTGCTGATTCAATCTGCCCATCAATCTGCTCCAGCTCTCCCCGCAGGCGCGCAATGCCCTGCAGCAGCTGCTTACGGCGCTCCTTCTCTGAATCAGAGCCCCTGGATTTGCCCTGGGGAGAAACGGTGGGTGTGGCGTCCGCAGGGTGGAACTCCCCCGAAACCTCCCGTGTCCTTGACTCTCATGACTTGGGCAGGCATTCGATCCACCAAGGGCTCACCTGGAATTGCCTGCTTCAGGAAGCCTGTGCCAACCTCCCAAACTTTAGAATCCTATCATTCTCTGAAGGGGGATGGGGCATACCCTTGGATTTTGGGAACTGCTGCCTCCCCCTCCCCCAGCGGATTAGGAAACACCCTGTCGCCTATTGCCCTCTCTGGCTTACCTCAGTCTCATCCATTTGCTGGTACCTAAGTGAGGAAAGAGGAGGTCAAGGTAACAAACGTTTTTTTTCCATTGGCTACAGTGGGCTCAAGCTGTCTATAATAAGGTAGAACTTTCCCCAAGCATAGACGAAAGCTTCACTGGAAGGAAGCCCGCCTGCCGTTCTATGGTCGAAGGCAGCGAGGGGGGGCAGTCTTAGCAGGCAGCCTTGCAAGAGTAATTAATTAGTTAATCATCGTATGGCTTTCTGTGTAGTATAGCCAAGAGATCCTAAGATTGTCTGGCAGCCAGAAGTCCTAGCTCTTTTAGAGTTACCGTGTTTCTCCGAAAATAAGGCACTGTCTTATATTTTTTCTCAAGAAGACACACTAGGGCTTATACCACAAATGCATAGAAATCCTGCTAGGGCTTATTTTGGGGGTAAGTCTTATTTTCGGGGAAACAGGGTATGCACCACTAGGTGGCAAGCTAGACTTGTTATTTTTTTAGGCAAGAGACGTTTCAGAGGTGGTTTGCTGTTGCCCGCCCCTGCGTCACGACTCTAGTATTCCTTGGAGGTCGCCCTTCCAAATCTGAGCCAGGGCCAACCCTGCTTAGCTTCCAAGATCTGACGGGATCGGGCTAGCCTGGGCTATCCAGGTGAGGGCCTCCCAAGGGTAAAAAAAAAGAAAGGATACCATAGCAAGTTCCCCCGAATCTTCTTTACATTTCTATAACAGAAAAAAAAGCATAATGTTAAGTCAACACAGAGCAACTGGGAATGTGAAGAAAAAGGGGACGGGAGCATACAAGACAGCAGAGACCAACTTATTTCAGAAGAAACTGCAGGCCGTGTGGCACTTCCGAAAGTTGCACTCACCACAGCTAGCCAAAGAGGAAAATGAAATACTTCTCACTTAAAAGGTTGCCTTTAAAAAACCCCAAAAACTAGCCATGCCCCTTTCCGTTTAAACACGAGCCTGGCATGCAGAATTAAACATGTAAAGGTTGTAGCGTAGATTACCAAAGGGATCCAGTACCTTTTTAAGTTCAGGAACATTCCCAACAGCTTGTATAGAGAACTTTCAACCAGGATGTTGATGGGTAACAGCAGGGCTATTTTTGGGCAGTCTGACACAAACTGCTCTTTTTCAAGGACAGCTGTGCCAGAGCTTGTGACTGACCCAAGGTCACATCAGCAGGTGCAAGTGGAGGAGTGGGGAATCAAACCCGGTTCTCCCAGATTAGAGTCCACACACTTAACCACTACACCAAACTGGCGCTCTCCCAGGTTGTAGCGTAGATTACCAAAGGGATCCAGTACCTTTTTAAGTTCAGGAACATTCCCAACAGCTTGTATAGAGTACTTTCAACCAGGATGCCGGAGGGTAACAGTTTAGTGTAGTGTACAGGAGCGCAGACTCTGATCTGGGGGAACCAGGTTTAAAAAGCCCTGGGTAACAGTTTAGTGTAGTGGCCAGGAGCACAGACTCTGATCTGGGGGATCCGGGTTGGATTCCCCACTCCTCCACATGCAGCTACTGGTGTGACCTTGGGTCAGTCACCAGTTTTTTCAGAGCTGTTCTCTCAAGGGCAGTTCTCGAGAGAGCTCTCTCAACCCCACCTACCTCACAGGGTGTCTGTTGTGGGGAGGGGAAGGGAAAGGAGATCATAAGCCACTCTGAGACTCCTTCTGGTAATGAAGGGCAGGGTATAAATCCAATCTCCTCCTCTTCTTACAAGAATGTACCATGCCACATCTCAATGAAAGCTGCCTTTAAGCACTACATATACCACATTAGAATCGCAAAGCATCTGTAACCTTGGCCACTGCCAGGCTAACCTTGCATGGCTAGCGGCCCAGTTTAAAGGAGCCACTGAGCTGCGCAACAGTGGGCAGTTGAGTTTTTCTGGCATGGCTGTGTCGTGATTAAACCAGGCTCAAACTACAGCCAGGAGCTGCTGAAGATAGGCCCGATCCAAACCTGGCTCTCTCCCCACTGTGTCACCTCAGCATCTTACCTCTGATGGCGAACGTGGCGGATGACGAACTTCCAGATCTCTGCACACTGGCCTGAGCACATCCTGGGGAAAGAGAGCGAGGGAGACGGAATATAGCCAAAGAAAGAGAAATCCATGTGGATTTTACTGCATCAATTATTTTCATACCTCTACAATGGAAAACAGTGAGGGTCTTCAAACACAGCGAGTACCTTGTGTAAAAGGTATGGGAAAAAATAAACTTTTCTTGGAGGAAGAGAACAATGCCGCCTCCCAAAATATGTTCGCCATCAAGTTGCTCTCAACCTATGGCAACCCTATGAATTAATGACCTCCAAAACATCCTATTCTTAACATCAGGCCTTGCCAACTGAGGGCCATGGCTTCCTTTATCGAGTCAACCGATCTTGTGTTGGGTCTTCCCTTCAACTTCTCCTGGCATTATTGTATCTTTCAGGGAGTCTTGTCTTCGCACGATATGACCAAAGTACAATAGCCTCAGTTTAATCATTTTAGTGTCTAGGTGGAATGCAGGCTTGATTTGATCCAGAATTTGACTTTTTGATGGCATCTGTAAAAGTCTCCTTCAGCATGATAGTCACACCTAGTGAGGATCTTCAATCATTTTAGGTAAAGTGTTGTTGTTTTTTTAAAACACCCAAAGAAACCTATTTCTTTCGAGCCCTACATAAAATGGCAGCATGGTAAGGATCTGCTCATCTCATCTGAGGAAGCAGCTTACCTGGGCGATGAAATTTAAGGTGGAATAAGATGCCTCTCCTGCCCCAAACATCTAATATAAAATGAATGCACAGAGAGGAGCCCCTCACTATAATGAAAGAAACAAATCAAGATGGCTAGCTGTTAGGGTTGCCAGTCTCCAGGTGGGACCTGGAGACCTCCCACTTTTACAACTGATCTCCAGCTGACAGAGATCCGCTCCCCTGGAGAAAATGGCTGAAGGGTGGATTCTATGACAGTGTACCATGCTGAGGCCCTTCCCCTCCCCAAACTCCACCATCTCCTGGATCCACCCCCAAAGTCTCCAGGTATTTTCCAGCCCAGACCTGGCAACCCTAGTAGCTGTGTTAGTTTGTCTGCAGCAGTAGAAAAGAGCAAGAGTCCAGTAGCACCTTGAAAACTAACAAAATATGTGGCAAGATATGAGCTTTCATGAGTCCCGAAATCTGAAGAAGTGAGCAGTGACTCACGAAAGCTCCTACCCTGCCACATATTTTGTTAGTCTATAAGAAACTGGGGACTCTAGTTCACAAAAAAGTTTAGCCTGGAATAACACGTTTTTTGGCAAGGCGCCACAAGACGGCCGCATATTTTTTTTTCAAAAAGGAAGGCCAGCTGCAAGAAGGCAAGTGACAAAAGACCTGAGACCACCCACAGCCTGGAAGAGAGAAAGCAGCCACGAGGCTCTCTGCACATGCTCAGAGGCACTCTCGCCAACAAGGAGGCCGCCCTAGTCTCACCCACCGGCGGGCGGCGCTCTCGGAGGGGATCTTGCCCGGCGGCAGCTTCATCTCCTCGGCCGCCCAGCGCCTCAACTCCTGCGCCAGCGACGGCCCGCTCCGCTCCATGGCGGCCAAGGAGGCGTCTCCAACGGCGCCCGCGAAACTTCAACTCCGGCGCCTTCCCGGTCGAGCCACGCCCACGTTTGCCCCGCCCCTTTCGCTTGGCATGCTGGGCGATGGAGTTCCGTGGCCTACCGCCTCAAGGTACCGAGTAGCCTGTTGGGATTTGTAGTTTTAGGCGGGCGGCGGGTCTCTTGAGGTAAACTGAAAAGCCCGGGAAATTTAAAGTAAAGTATAAACGGGAGTCTTGTGGCCTCTTAAATATTAGTATTTATTTATTCTAGCACACGTTTCCACAAAGTAGAATAAAAACAATACTTCTCTGCCAGTTTATTATGCCCGACTGGAAAAGTCTTTAAATCCCCTCCAAGGCTGCTGCTTTATGTTTGCTACCTCTCTGAAACTTTTCTTTGCATGTGACTGATATAGTCGGTGTCTAAGAGGCATTTGACATCTGGGTTTCAAAAGCTAGTATGCTACTTTGGTTGCACCTTGATTTTTTTAGATGGAAAAATCTGAAATTCAGATTTAGTTATTCTCTATCCCGGGAACAGATTCAATAGCTACATTTTTGTGGGTCAGACTATGTTTATAGATCTGCTTCATTTTTGTTTTTCAAGACCCTTGGGAGCTATAATTCATAGCGGCTTAGAGGGTGAAGCCAATAACAAAATGACAGCTCTTTAGGCTGGAGATGCTTGCACCTGCAAAAGGGCATCGTGATAGGGTTGCCAACCTCCAGGGGGTGGCTGGAGATCCATTACAACTGATCTGCAGGTGATAGAGATCAGTTTACCTGGACAAAATGGCTGCTTAGAAGATGGGCTGTACGGCATTCTACCCCACTAAAGTCCCTCTCCTCCTCAAACCCTGTTCTCCTTAGGCTCCACCTACAAAGTCTCCAGGAATTTCCCAACCCACAGCTGACAACCCTACATCTTGACCAAAAATTGCAGCGTGTGACAGAGCTGGTCTGTAACTGCAGTGCTCAGGTAGGGAAAAGTTTCTTCTACTGTTTTCCCAAAGCAAGTCTTTATGTTTTCCCTGGAAGAGGTGAGTAATACTGGTGATACCCGGGGAAAGAATCAGGAGAGCTCCTTTGAATTGATGGGGTAGGGTTACCAACCTCAAGGTGGGGGCTGGAGTTCTCCTGGAATTACAGTTGACCTCCTGATACCCCACTAAAGTCCCTCTCCTCCTCAAACCCTGTTCTCCTTAGGCTCCACCTACAAAGTCTCCAGGAATTTCCCAACCCACAGCTGACAACCCTACATCTTGACCAAAAATTGCAGCGTGTGACAGAGCTGGTCTGTAACTGCAGTGCTCAGGTAGGGAAAAGTTTCTTCTACTGTTTTCCCAAAGCAAATCTTTATGTTTTCCCTGGAAGAGGTCAGTAATACTGGTGATACACGGGGAAAGAATCAGGAGAGCTACTTTGAATTGATGAGGTAGGGTTACCAACCTCAAGGTGTGGGCTGGAGTTCTCCCGGAATTACAGTTGACCTCCTGAGAACAGAAATCAGTTCCCCCAGAGGAAATGGCAACTTCAGAGAGTGGTATACCATTGAGTCTAGGAGAAACTGAAGTCCTAGACTGATGTCACATTCCCACTGAATGCCTTGCTAGGCATTGCCCCCAAATCTTCAGGACTTTCCCAAGCTGTAGTTGGTAACCCTAGAAGAGTGACTAACCTAAGGCCAATAAAGAAGTTGGCACATTTGCTTATCCATGCTCCCATGAATGTACTGATTATTTGCTCCCAGTAGTTTGTGCCTTTGTTATTTCCAGTCCTTTCTGCCACATTAATCCTCGCTGATCAGTTCCAAATTCTTTGAAAATGTGAATCTTGAATGTGGCTTGCATATCAAAAGTGTGTGCAAAAGCCCAGACTTGGATAGGCCAGGCAAGCCCGATGTCATCAGATCTCAGAAAATAAACAGGGTCAACACTGGCAGGTACTTGGATGGGGGACCTCCTCAGAATACCAGAGGCAGGAGGTGGGGGGCAGGCTTTATTCAGCTACCTCTCAGAATATCCTCCAGCCCCACCAGTAGGGGTCAGTCACCAGAGGTCTCCAGGTGCACACACACGCACACATACGCACACATAAAAAATACCCCCCTTCCAAACACTGGGAAAAAAGTGTGTGCGAAATTACCAACAGGTATTGCACAACCATTTTTCTTGCAGCTATGTGGGCTAGAAACTTTTTAAAAAAAAGAGATTCTCAGGATGTCAGATTTTGTGTCAGCTAAGCAGATTCTGTGCTTATATAGACTACCCGCAAACCAAGCCTTGGCAAACAATGCCCTGGTTCACTGTATGCAGCTCGCATTGCTTCTTCCCTGCCCCCCATTCGCGAGGACAGCAGGACTGTGGGAAGCAAGGATAGGTTTTCCATTGTGTGAAATCAGCCATGACTACAGGGACCATTGAGTAGCCTACTGTTGCCTGTACAGCGGAACAGTGACAGCTTATTACAGATGAGAACAGAGCAATAGTCTTGTGTTGAGACAATGTAAAGCTGCTATTGTGCGAGGCATTGTTTATCCCCACTTTTCTATAGGGGGAAAAGAGTTATGATATGATTCAGACTTCTGGCACTGGCCCCAGTTATGACCTAAGCAAGCCCACCTCCTGAAGTGACTACTTTACCCTATGGGGAGATGAGTGTGAATCACATCAGCTGGTCAGCGTGGCTGTGGTGGGAGGAAGAAATTTAAAGCTCTCCAATAAAGAAGGAGGGGGAGCAATTGCTGGTGTAATCCAGTTTCCTGCACGGCACCCAACCCCCCTTGCAGTGTAGATGTTTTCTCCTAAGCAAAGTAAGGCATTGTAACTCCTCCTTCCTAGCGTGACCAGCAATAAAGACTTTCTTACAGCTGTGCCTCCCTCTTTTATGCTGTCAATGTTTGTCTCCTCCTCCGGGGAAATGTGGATAAATGGCTGAGATCTAGAAAGATGTTTATCCTGGGGAACTCACTGCCTCAAGACGTAGGGACTGCTTTCCTAGAGAGCTTCAAAAGGGAACTGGACAATTCATGGAGGGCTGTTCTACCAACAACCATAAGCCATGAGAAACAAAGGGAACCCCCGTGTTAAGAGGCAGTGTGTACGTGTGTGTAGATTTGCAGCTGAGTTATGGTGACCCCATAGGGTTTTCAAGGCAAGTAGTTAAGCAGAGGTGGTTTGCCGTTACCTTCCTCTGCAAATTCTTCCTTGGTGGTCTCCCATCCAACTACCAACCCTGCTTAGCTGGCGAGATCGGGCTATATTATACCATTCTACATCCCCAAGAGGCAGTGTACTTCTGAAGAACAGTTACTGGAGAGGGGGTAATATAGGGAGATTTGGGTCTCTGTGTCATGCTTGTTGGTCATCTGGAGGCCAAAGAGGCCTAAAAGATGGACCTTTCATCTTATCCAACAGTCCTTATGGCTACTGTCAAAGCCAGCAGGGGGTTAGATTTGCTAGACCTAGGTTCAGATCCCATGTGTGTTCCAGGCCTTTCAGGAGAACACCAGCAGAATGTGTGCAGAATGGCGTGGGGAGGGACAGGAATACTGTGAATGTAAGCACTGAAGAAGAGTGGATAAAAGAGCCCTTTGTCTGTGCCTTAGAATGAGCGGCCACCTGTGGTGTGTAATGTGGAGAAGGTTCTTTAATGCTATACACGTTAATCACACAAGGTTAGTTGTGGAGTCTCAGGCCCAGAGACTCAGGTTTTGGGGCATCAGGACCAATGCTCCCTCTAAGCTGTGGAGTACTGTAAGCAAAAATTCTACTTTGTGAGCTACTGGCAATAAAGTTGTGAGCAAGCGATTTGGCTGCTGCATAAATTAGTTCGCTCTGGAGCTGTCCTTCCTGAGCTAAGACAAAAATGTGTGAGCTGGAGGCTAAAAAACTGAGCTAGCTCACAGTAACTCAGCTTAGACACGTCGGCAAGGCGGTGGGCCAGCAACTGATGGTCGACCGTATCAAAAGCGGCCGACAGGTCTAACAACAACAGTGCCGCCACTCCGCCTTGATCCAGATGCCTACGGAGGTCGTCAGTCAGAGCGACCAGAACAGTCTCCACCCCGTGGCCAGGGCGAAACCCGGACTGGTGGGGATCGAGGACAGAAGCTTAGAGGAAACACTGATCAGGACCACAGGTTAAAATCTCAGGGCTCTTAGTTACATGCTCAGTGGCTTCTTTTAAGACTTATGTGCATGCCTGCTTCTGGCCCTTATCCTGGGTCTGCGTGTGGCCCAATTCTATGACTTTTTGAACTGGCCACTTGGCTTTTAGATGTGATTTCACTGCTTGTCTGAAAGTGTGTTGTTGAAAAAGTTTTTCATATGTGTATTGTTTTTACTTGTAGTTTGGCATGTAGTGTCATATTTTTATGCAGCTTTCATTCTCTGGCTTGTGTGGTTTTTATATTTTATTATATATACATGTATATATATATTATTATACTGGTTTATGTCGGCTATGTTTTTACTTGTAAACTGTCTGGATCATCTACCACCATAACAATACATGAAATGTGAACAAATCAAGGTCCATAAACATGGATATTGTTGGGTATTGTTGCCCAGAGGTTTAATTCTGGCAACCAGCATGAAAGGATCTTTTACATTATACTTGTTTAAAGAAACAAACAAGCAGCTATTGGCAGCACAGGGAGTCCTTTAAATGGCACCAGGCTGTACGCTGTACAGCATCATATGTCGTACCGGAGTGGGCACATTGCTCCCGACTTGAACGTGCTTGAGCATAATTCCTTTGAACCCTGGGCCAGACTTGTAAAGCCTCTCCCCGTGATCCCATTTTGATACCTACATGACTCGTGAAAGATAAAGAAGTCTAATTTGTGAAATGACATAAGAGAATATCATACTGATGGCTCTGCTGCTGGGATTTAGGAGCCCTGGGTCTTTTGCTCCCTTTCAAACGTACCTCCCTCCTCTCCATCTCCTGCGTGTATGCGCTTTCTACATCACGCTATGTCATGCCTTAGACCAGGGGTCATCCACCTTTTTGAGCACGCGGGCACCTTTGGAG